TGCACCCCCTACCTGGGGGGGGGGGGCAGTTAAGGGGCGGCTTCCCCCCATGGGGGGGGTTTCATGTGACCCGCCCCCCCCCCCCCCCCCCGATTGCCTCGAATCAGAAGCCATTTGTAGTTAAAAGTCTGGAATCGTGAGTTAATCCTCCTGCAAAGGTATGAGACCAGCATGATGGCAAATCGGCAGATGTGATCTCTGGTGATCCATAGAGAAGCACAGGGATTCTCTGATATTGCACCCCCTACCTGGGGGGGGGGGGCAGTTAAGGTGCAGCTTCCCGCCATGGAGGGTGTTTCATGTGAGCCGCCCCCGCCCCCACGCCGCGGGGTTGTCTCTGGGCATTGCTGCCGTCAGCATGCCGGATAATGCAGGATGCCGGCGGCTGATTTACGCCACGCCGCCGTCCGCCTCATACTGCTTCTGCGGTGTTAACCCCAGAAATGCCAGCTGGAGAAATCCCCTTCAGCGCAGCCGTGGAGGGAGGGGCTGCGGCCTGCGATCAGAGACCCCATGGGGAGAGCTTTGGGGCTCCTGGTTCCCTGGAAGACGTGACGTCACGCTCAGCACTCACTGTGGGAACCGGCACTGGATTAGCTTAGCCCTGTAGTGCAGCTATGAGCTGAATGGATTCTGACCACTGTTGGGGTAGCGCTGGGTTCGGGTGGGGGGGGGGAGTCGGGATTGGGGGGTGACCGTTGCTGTGCTGCTTCTTGTCTTCCAGCATCGCCATGGCGACCAAGGAGAACATGACGTCCCAGAGGAGCATGCTGAAGTCCATCCAGGGGCGTGTCAACACACTGGCCAGTATCCTTCTGATGCGTTTGTGAAGATGCTGCACGCCGTAGCCGTTCAGGAGCACTGATAAGACGCCCTCCCCCTCCCCGCTGACAGCTTCACTACATGTGGCATTTAATTATTTGGCGATATGAATGCACACCCTTCATCAGGCAAACAGACCTGTAAATCTTTCCTGTGGCTGCCCCCCCCACACTGGCAGCGTCTCCGCTGTATATGGAGCTTGAAATTGAATCGGCGCCTTTGCTGGCAGTAACGGAGCTGCCCTGCATCATTATTTAAATAGCTGTGCTGCCTTCTGTATGGGGCACGCAGATGTTTGTTCTGCTCAAATGTGCATATTTTCCGGGGAATACAACACTTTATTTACGGTATTGCGATTTTCAAATCAAACTCCAAAAGCAGACTGAGTTTATACATACTTGAGTTGTTTTTCTTTAATCAAATCCATCTAGATCGTTTCCCAACAATCAACAACCTCATCCAGCGGATTAACCTGAGGAAGAGGCGGGACTCGCTAATCCTGGGTGGGGTCATCGGCGTCTGCACCATACTGTTGCTGCTCTATGCATTTCATTGACTGACAGAAGGAACGACCAATCCCTTTGGGGTGTCCTGCGAGTCGTGTGTGAGCCGTTGAGGTGGACCCAGCAGAAGGCGGCCCGGCCCACAAGACCAAAGCCCAGCTGATTTCCTGTAGTCAGCTCGGACTGGGCGGGGCTTGGGGGGTTAAAGGGTGACTCGGATGTGTTTTTGGTTTTCTATGCACATACAAAAGCTCTCGTGAGCCGACTGTGAGGATCCCGGACTTATGTCACCTTGATTTTGGCTTTTAAACATATGAATGTAGAATCACACTCTCCGCTCAGCGTTGATTTGATGCCCCTCAGCAGATGTTCATCACAGAGTAAATAATTTATTTGTGTAAGTGAGACCCATGTGGACGTATCCAGCCTTGGCGCTGAATTTGACGTCCGCTGGCTGATTTCTGACATGGAGCACTGGTGTTTTCTGTAAATACAGCTTAACTGTGACACTTCCTCTGCTCATGTGCTGCTCGTGTTCTTTCGGTTTTTCAGTAGGAGCCTCCTCCTCCTCCTCCTCCTCCTCCCTCAAATGGCTGCTTGAGCTTCCATTAGTGTAATTAAACGAGTGCTTGCATCAGAGCAGATTTTCCAGTGCCTGTGAAACAGGAGATTTCCTCCACATTGAGCTGTGTCGTCCCCCCCCCCCCCCCCCCCCCCCCCCCCCCCCCCCCCCCCCCCCACCTTGAGTCATTATGAAGCTGAATCTTCACTTCCCTGTTAATACTGAAGCTGGAGGTAATGCTGCATGGAAATGCCATTCCGCTGCAGTGGCAGTGGTGCCCGCCAGGCCGGGACGGCGTCGCTCCCTCCAGATTGCTGGGAAACGCCTGACTGGCCTCTACGTCCCAAGCCGGTTCAAAGCCACATGTCTTATCCCAAATTGACATAGCCTTGACAATTCAACAGTATTTAGAAAAAAAAAACTCATCGTTCTTTGTAACATTTAAATATTTGCATATAAAATGAGGGGCTTCACCAGCCCTGATGCAGGAAAGCAAACCCTAAGCCCAAGCCTGGATGAGCCTGTCTACTACAGACTAATTGTAAAGTGGGGCAGCCAATGAGCTGCTCACTCTTACCGGCACTGTGTAATAGAAGACATCGCTTCAAGACTTTTTTTGGAAAATAATCTCTCATTAAACTGCAAAAGTCTTTATAAATTTGATGTCTGGATCTGTGGACTGATTTCGTCCTGTTCTAACCTTTTCCTGTCAGCTCTGGATTTGTCACATAACAATAGGTGCTTCTTTAAATGATCAAAAATAAGAGCTAGTATGTTAGAGCGTAACCGAGTATCGCGTGGGGTTGCACGTGGTAACATGTGCTCTGTGCTGTGCTTGATCCACGTGAAACACGGCCTGGCGGCTACTGGATTGATGTATGTTTTAAGGAGTCCACGACACGCTGGGGTCATGCTTGGTAACGTTTATTGCAGACATGCAAAAGTCACACAGCAGAGAAATGGAAGGCAGGGCGTACACGTCCACCGGGAGGGAAGTACTCAAATATACAAGAATATAGTCTTTTGTTTTTTCTCCTCCTCGTCTCCAAGATGGACAGGCATCTGAAAATGTAAACGTGTGAGACGCGTGTGAGTGAAGTACGGTTTGGGTGGACAGGAAGCTCCGTCACGCACTGTGGCTTGGAGCTCTGTGGCTTCCTGCCTCATCTGAATCCTCCTCATCCAGATGATTATGCCTCTGGGAGATTCTGGATCATGAGGGGCTGGCAAAAGCACATTTTTAACAAATGTGTCCCAAAGTACTTTCCATACTCTGGGGGTTGAGTCGGTGTGAGGTGGATCCTTGCGTCCTTAACAGCTCCTCCGTTTCATCTTTATATGAGACACATTATGAAGACTCACCGAATCCTTTTAACTCCGAAAGACACAGTGGGGCAGAGCCCTACAGGAGCAGCATGAGATCATACTCAAGATCAGAGCAAGATTCAGAGATCGCAGTCAAGATCAGAGCAAGATTCAAAGATTGTACTCAAGATCAGCATTAGATTGAGATCATGGTGAAAGATCAGCATGACATTCTGGGATCATACTCATGTCACATACATGTTTGTGTGCTTTTGTCCCCTTTCAAATGATCCGCATCCTCATCGCGGACATCTTCGAGCTACCTACAGCCAACCACGAAACATGTTTATTGTGTGCAGTTCGTGTTTTATTTTTTCTAGAATGAGGAAATCACAGAGATGCAATCTGGTTGAGTGCCTGCAGATGCAGTTGGGACTGTAACTGTGTTGCATGCCATCACTCCCAAAGCTAGCGCGTGCTCCTCCCCCCGCCCCAGAGAGCAATAAACCCACAGCACGCTGTGGGCTCTGAGCATGCCTATATATCAAATATGGGGAGGGGGGGCGTGAAAAAGTGTTCGCAGAGAGTGTATTTACAGCCCTCCCAGCCCAAAGCAAATGGGGGGGGTGGGGGGGGGGCACCGGCACTGACAGCTGTGTGGTCTGACATCGTACACATGCGTGTGCTCATTGCGGAGGACATCCATATGTAATGATCAGCTCCACACGGACTCCTCTCCAGGCCTGGGGGCTGCATGCGGAAACCCCCCCGCCCCAACCTATGCTAGTGCTCTGAATCCCGCTCTGCTTCACTGTCTTCCTGTCTACATAAAAACCTCCCCGAAAATGCAAGTTAATGCAAACTGCAAATACACACAATTATATATGTAGTGTCGTATACATGATGAATGCAAGGAGCCAGTCAAGGATATACAGTCTATCTATCACGCTCTGTTTTCCAGACTTTTCCTTTCCGTTCCGAAGCCGGTTGGACGTCGCAGTACCCCCTTTACTCTCTGCTCTGTCTTCGCTCAGCGATTTGCGTGCAGCCGGTGCCGCACAGCTCTCAACGCCAAAGAAAAAGAATTTGATTAATGTTTTTTTTTCCTCAAGCGAACATTAAGTGAAGCATGCATCCATTACTGTTAATGCTGTTTTTTCTGTTGTTTGTCTTGTCTCCTCATTGCCACATGAGACTCAGGGTTTTTACAAAGTAATTTTTCTTTTTTTGCTATTATTATTATTATTATTATTATTATTATTATTTTAGAGTGGACCACAGTGAGGTTTTCTTTAATCTAGCATTTCCCATGTAACGTTTCGTATGTAACGTGCTCTGCGGTCTGGTGACACGGGGTGCTTCCGTCTTAGGGGTGTTCGGGCTGGTGATGCCTCTCAGCCCATTGCTGTGGGGGTAGAAGAGCGAGGGAGAGGGAGAGTGAGAGCGAGAGCAAGAGAAAGTAAAAGAGAGAGGGAGAGAGAGAGAATGCGTTACAGAACAGCAGCTACCCCCCCCCCTGCTCCCCCACCACTGTATGCTGAACAGACATGCCTGCTGTTGTCATAATAATCCCCATCACAGCCTCATGAGGGCGCCCTGCGGTGAATCCATTCCTCAGCGCATGCAGGTTCTCAGTTTCTCCTGCTGCATTTTTCTGCTGCTTGGAAGCTGGGTTACCTACGATCGCCTGAACACGCTTCAGGCTGTTTATGTGTACGTGTGCGTGTACGCGGCGACGGGGCTCGCACCTCTGACGAGGATGAAGACAGTGATGATGATGATACCCAGCGCCATGGAGACGATGCTGAGCAGCCGGGAGAGCCGGCCGAGCCGCTTGGCCCCGTCCACGTCACCCTGCTGCAAGCTGTTTCTGGACTACAGGGAAACATGAGAGACGTGTGTATCACACAACAGGGCCACGCACTGGAACGCATCTCATTGGCTGTGCTGTGGAAGGGTCCTGGTATTAGTTACCCCAGCTGAAAGCATCATTGATGAGGAAATGCCCCCTGTGTCTATTGCCAGAGGCCCTACACTGCACACTGCACCCTACACCCTGCCCACTGCACCCTACACCCTGAACCCTACATGCTATACTCTACTCTCTCGGCCCCCCACCTCCTTCCGAAGGGCTCCATTAAAGAGATCAATATCAAGAAAGTAATCGAGCCACGAGGGGCATCCAGCAGGAGAAACCGTACTCCTGGCAGACGACTGCAGCTGCTCTGTCGTCCTGCATCGGAGCCCAGGCTTCTTCAGAGAATTTCTTGTGGGTACTGGAGTAACACAGGGTCATCTTTTGCTGAACTGACAGGTTAGATGAGCAGCCTGAAGATAGACTCTTGGTTTAATTGTACTGTTGGCACATTAGGAATTTGAATGGTAGTTTATCAGGTTCTTTTCTTTAGGTTGAAACACGGTGAACCTTGCATCGTGGTTAATTTGAGTCCCCCCCCCCACACCCCCATCCAGACCCTGCTTCCTAACCGAAGCATCACGGCTGCATTGATCCAAACACCAGTGATGCACCAGCTCCTCCAATCAATGGGAGCCCAGCCCAGATGCTCCATGAAACCACCAGCTTCATGTGCAGTGTTGTTCTGTCTCGCTCTGCTTTTACCACCCAACCAGAAATGTCATTTTCTCATAGCATGATAGGATATTTATGATACTATTAATAGATTAGGAAGTGAGTTTTGTCCTTCCATGGCTTCGCTATGGGTTGGGGCTGAGCTTGGTTTAAGGTGACAAACAGGATAACGGAGCTCTCGAACTGTTTTGCTTGAGCTTTCCCATTGGGTTGTCTGTGTGTCAATCAGCTCTGTGGAACCCGCCCCTCCCCCCAAGCTCAGTCTAGTGGCCACAGCCCTCATGGTCGTTCTTGGGCCATCAATAATGCAGGGGCCTGTCCGGCGGCGGAGCCAGCCCGGGCGTGACTGGGTAGCATCGAAAGTACGGAAACTCGCTTTATTACATGTCCGTCTAATGATGGATGGTTCAAATGGAGTGCTAACATTTCCTACCATCTCCCAGCCAGCTTTGACCCAGTGCAGCTTTGCTCTGGCTGTTTCAGAACCGAAGTCCAACACCCAACACCCGCCCCTGCCAGCCCCCTGCCCAATGAATATAAATCTCACAATGTCTGGTTCTGGATTAGCGGAAGTAGCTGTAAAATTCAAACTCATGCATACGGATGGAGTGAAAAACACAATGGTAATGGTACACATACATGCACATGGATATCCCGTATGTGCATGTTAATGCACGCATATGCATGCAGGGATATCCAACATGTGCATGTTAATGGAATAGATAAACATACACAGATATCTGACATGTGCATGTCAATGCTGCACATACCTGCACATGGATATCCTGCATTCATGAAATGGCAAACATGCATGCACACTGATATCCCATACATGCATGTATACACAAACACAGATATCTCACATGTGCATATTAATGGCACACATACACAAACACAAACATGCGCATTTTAATGGAACACATGCACGCACATGGATATACCACACATGTATATTAATAGCACATATACACAAACACAGATTTCCCACACTTGCATGTTAGTGGCACACATATACACACAGATATCCCACATGTGCATGTTAGTGGCACACGTAGAAACATGGATATCCCACACTGCATGTTACAGGCACACGTACACACACGGATATCCCACACTGCATGTTAGTGGCACACATACAAACACAGATACCCCACACGTGCATGTTAGTGGCACACGTACGTACACACATGGATATCCCACACTGCATGTTAGTGGCACACATACACACACGGATATCCCTCACTGCATGTTACAGGCACACGTACACACATGGATATCCCACACTGCATGTTACAGGCACACGTACACACATGGATATCCCACACTGCATGTTAGTGGCACACATACACACATGGATATCCCACACTGCATGTTAGTGGCACACATACACACATAGATATCCCACACTGCAGGTTAGTGAGACACATATGCACACGCATATCACACATGTGCATGTTAGTGCACTTGTGCACACAGATATTGCACACATGCATTTGCCTGTCACCCCCCAGGTCCACATTTCATAAACATGTGCAGAGTGCTCGCATAACCGCATTACCCAAACGCACTGTGCTCTGAAAGCCATGCCCAGCCGCAGCTCTCCACTTCGAGTAATTGACTCTCCCCTCAAGCCTGCAGCTCTTTTTCAGATCAGCAGCCAACTATTTTCTTATGAATGCGTCGCTTCTGCAGCGCAGTTTCCCGTACCCAGCACCTGCATTTGGCCCCACCCACCACTGCATGCCCTGATGCCATTTTTCCCAGTGCAGCTTCTCATGTTGGTCTGGCGGCATTCGAGCCCAGCAGGGAGGTCTCATCCAGGGAATGCTGTTTGGCCAGAGGTGGGCATAGGCAAGGCGTTAATCACAATCACTGTTCCCCACTAAGTGATGTGTGGCAGTGAGAACTGTGAGCAGGCCGTCATTCTGGGCCTCAAGCCAAGGGATTGTTAGGGGTCTTCACTGCCCAAATGGGGACCAGACACAGATTAAATAAAATAGCAAAACAGTCTGTGACCAGTAACTTCAAATATGCACAAGTACGGCCTTTCCTGCACTGTAATTAGACTATAATTCTTCTAAAGCTACAGTGCTACCAATTTTATTGCTGCCACAATAATAATGATTCATTCAGGTCTCACAGTAAAGGGCGGTACTGTTACCGAGAACCTATTAATCCCAGTATCACCACAAAGACTGTAATACCAGGTGCAATGGTCAGGTGCAATGAAATACTCTTAAACCCTTGGTACTGATAGCAATTGCTCTGGCACACCACTGATTGGCGTGTTGGAGAACCACCGGGGGAAAACCGGAATTGTGTTTTTTGTGAGAGCTTTTCCATCATGTTCCGTACAAAAAAGAAATACCGAGGAATTTGTTGTTGTGAAAAGTTGTGAAGCTGAACAACGAGGAGCCGAAGAAACACGGGGACACGGGGTCTGGAATCACAGTTTCGCTCCAGAAAGGAGCCGCGATATTGGAAAGCAGCTTGCGCGAAAAAGATAAATGTGCCTGTCATGTGCATGAACGTTTCTATTTTAATTCACGGACACTAAATTATTTCAGATACCCCAAGAAGGCTGTCTGTGGGGTCGGGGTCCGTCTATTCGACGTTCTCATTTATATTCAGAGGCGAATGGAAGCACGGCCATTTTCCCCGTCACGCCGGGGAACCTCTACTTAAAATGCTGCCGCCCGTTTGGACTGAATACAGCCACCACGCCCTGTCTTTTCTCGCTTTGCCACGTATTCATGTATCTTAAATGTAAATTATTTTAAAGAAACAAGTGAACAAACACAGTACTGAAGCTACATCAAAACTGGAACAAAAACAGTACATGTATTGTATTCATTCAAAATAACAGTATTAGTGTTAATATTAGTGAGCTCGGAGATACTCTTATATGGAAAATAACCAAGTTAGGTGTCATTTTGGCAGCTACAAGTGCCCAGTTTTAACCTTATCACGTTAATTATCCATCTACATCTATGACGTCATCTAGTTATCAATACTGAGCAGAAAGGAAATCACGGGAGCACGAGCAACTCATAGGAAGTGTCCCACATATAGTATATAATACATAATAGCCTATGTTTGAACTATTGTTAAATCGTATTGTCCGCTTATTTTTTCACATGGGAATTTGACCTCGTATTTAATGAGATGTTTATTATTATTATTATTTATTTATTTATTTTTTAATGAGAGCGAAATTTGCTGACGTTGGGCGTCCACAGTACCGGGCGATTCATGCTGTGGGACATTCGAAATGCTTCCCAAAAATTATACATAGGCTATGTGCCATATTTATACATGCCCACATATATGGAACTGGCACATTAAAACATTTTTTCAGCTTTTAAAATAACAATGTTAATTGCATGATTTATGGACAAATGGTGGTTTTGGTTAAGTAAGCTACAGTACAGATTTTAGTACCTGCATTTTAACCGCACTATAAAGTTAGTTTACAGTTCACTGTATTAATTTAAAACAATTCGCCATTCATATTGCACATTACACAGATATACAACCTACCTTACTCATATCAAAGTTGGCAGTATTCGGCAGGAGTAAAATAAAAACATTGTGTTTAACCAGCCAACGAGCGCATAAAAATGTATATTTGGAACAATAAAACTGCCTGTAATTCAGATGTAAAGAGAGAAAGTCTTTTATTTTCAGTTTAAATGGGTGTTTTCCAGCCTGCGTTATAATGTAAAGTTCACAATGCTTAGTCCACTTACCATAATTGAATATACCAGTCCGACAATGTTGAGGGGCCAGACGGGACAGAAGCAGGAAAAGATAGCCAAAATGAGGTAGTCCCGGGGTTTTGGCTGTTCTTGGGCCGTATTCCCAGTGGAAGAGGTGCGACTTAGGCTGACCCGGGACGGGGACAGAGGCGGGCCCCCGAGCTGCACCACGGAGCCCGATCTTACGGGCACGCTGTGTCCGTTTTGGTCCGACTCCGCGTCTTTCTCGCTGCCTACATTCACCATGAAGGAGCTGGACAGTTTGATGCCGTTTCCTCCGGCCGTCTCGCTGGTCAGAAGTTTCTCTGTCTCCTGCGATTCGGGGGGCTGCGCAGCGCCACTCTCACCCAGGGCCGCTTTTTCAAACGCCGCGTCTGTGTTGATGGCCATTCTTCAAAGCAAAACTACCGCGCTTTATATGAGGAGTCCCTTTACCTAAAAACAGCCACTAATTTCGATGGAATAATTATCTGCCCAGTTCACAATACAGTCAGAAATCTAAATCCCCATAATTTCCTAATAATACTAATTCTCCCTGTATTTAATAATAATATTGTAATTTAAATACCAAAAAGTGGATGAAAAGATTATTCTAATAACTGATTTACCAAAATAAAAACAACGGCAGTGCTGAGAGAAACATTTACCTCTTCTTGATCAGTTTCACTGTAAGGATAATGAAACAACATTAAAAAATAGTCTGGCGATGCATTAAGATCCTTCTTTCTACAGCTCAGCGGTCCTGTTCAGTCCGCCTTTCCTATTAAACGTGTACGCGCCTTCTCCATCTAAAACGAGAAGTCTAAGTGAAACAAACAAGTCACCGGGCCAATTGTCTCTCACTTCTCCCCGTGCTGCATCATCCACTAAAAGACTGCCAATATCACTTTTTAAAAACGAGGAACGGACCTTTAAAATTTACTTTTTCCAAAGCATCAATAGGCACGCGCTGTAGGGCTGTGTGTTGCGCTGCAGCAACAGAGCGACTGTGATGAACTTAATGCAGGACGAGTCCCTCAGCATCAGCACCACCCCGCAGGCGAGCGCAGGCGTCGGGGCGGGATTTCTGCCTTGCATTTCATGGCCGGATTCCCCCAGGGGATGCCATAATACCGCCGCTAACTAGCGATCTGAGCATATTGTTTGTGGCGTCGAATTCGTCACTAAAAGAAGCTTTTAAAAACACGGGGACATACCTGAAACGAAACACATGTCAAAAGTACTGTAACGTTGCCTTGCCTTGAAAAAATGGAAACCGATAGTACAAGAATTACAATCACACCCAAAGTGAAATAGAAAATAAAAGGAACGTTATGTAATTTGACAAGACTTGGAATGATTTTTAATTCGGGTTTCCAATAGGTTATTACATTATATTACAATCCCTTAAATAATCATTACGGTTTTTATTCAAGAATAACCTACCAGAACGTGTGGTTTTTTTTATTTATCTGGCATTGTCCTGTGAAGAAAATGAAGCGCAGACTGCGGGGATTCCCTCCGTGAAAACCGAGATGCTGAACACGCTATAGCCTATGGTGACCAATCATGTTGATGAATTTGTAAGGGGGGTTGAAAAAGTATATAACGGTGCACTTTTTCTTTGTTTGGTGTTAAAGCACCCGGGTTATGCGGAGCGCTCTATCACGCTAATTCGCATAATCTCATTAATAAAGAATTACCAACCCTGAGCTATATCACTGTCTGGAGTTAAGGTATATTTTTTGGATATTGTTTTCTTCCAGACTATAATGTCCCGGCTAAGGGTTGTCCACTGTAATTGATTACATTCCTTTGTCAGCAAATTACCAAAAAAGAGGTACACCTCATCCACCCGGAACCACAAGTTATGTTCACAAATCTAAGGACGTCAGCGTCTATTGCAGCAAATTTGTATTTTTTTAGGTTAAATTCCAGTTTTTAAAACAAGTATTGGTGACACGTTACTTGAGGGGGCACAATGGAGTAGAACACTCTTACTTAATGTAAGAACATAAGAATTTTACAAACAAGAGGGGGTCATTCGGCCCATCAAGCTCGTTTGGGGAGAACTTAACTAATAGCTCAGAGTTGTTAAAATCTTATCTAGCTCTGATTTAAAGGAACCCAGGGTTTTAGCTTCCGCTACACTAGCAGGAAGACTATTCCATACTTTAACTACACGCTGTGTAAAGAAGTGCTTCCTCAAACAGATTCAGATCAGCTAACCTTTCCTCATAAGACATTCCTCTAAGACCAGGAATCATTCTTGTAGCCCTACGTTGCACCCTTTCCAAGGCAGCAATGTCCTTTGTAAGGTATGGTGACCAAACCAGCACACAGTATTCTAGGTGGGGTCTTACCAAGGAATTGTATAATTGTAGCAGTACCTCCCTTGACTTAAATTCCACACACCTAGAGATGTAACCCAACATCCTATTGGCCTTTTTAATTGCTTCCCCGCACTGGCAAGAGTGGGACATGGAAGCATCAACATAGACACTGAGATCTTTCTCATAATCAGCTACCTTTATTTCAGTGGAATATCTGTACTTTATATTTCTGCTCCCTGCATGGATTACCTTACATTTATCTACATTAAAATTCATCTGCCAGGTATCAGTCCAGTTGCTAATTAAATCAAGATCCTGTTGTAGCCTCTGTGTTGCTAATTTAGTATCTGCTACACCACCCACCTTGGTGTCGTCTGCAAATTTAACCAGTTTCCTGTATGTATTGGTGTCAATATCATTAATGTAAATTAGGAACAATAGTGGTCCTAAAATTGAACCCTGTGGTACCCCAATATGAACACAGGCCCACTCTGACATTGAGCCTCTAATAAATACCCGCTGCTTCCTGTCTGTTAACCAGTTTTTGATCCAAGCTGCTACGGTTCCTAAAATCCCTGCAGCTTTGAGCTTAAGCAAGAGTCATTTGTGGTGGACAATATCAAAGGCCTTCTGGAAATCTAAGTAGATCACGTCATAGGCTTTTTTGTGATCAATTTCTCTTGTAGCTTCCTCAAGGAACTGAAGTAAATTAGTTAAACAGGATCTACCTCTCCTAAATCCATGTTGGCTATCACTCAGAATGTTATTTGAATCCAGGTAATCTATCATTTTCACTTGGATTATTAATTAATCAGAAACTAAGTTAGCCAAGCACTGTTTGTTCATCATTAATCAATAATCTCAGTTCGTGTGCTTCATGCACTTACTATATCTGTTCATAACTTGTATTTGAGTGGCCTAATAACTGAGTTACTAACTTACTTGTACTCCCTCAAGTAAAGTGTTATCCATTAATTAAATTAATCATAAAAGTGAACTGTAAAAGGGTACATAGAAATAATTTGAATAAATAATCCAAGGACCCTCGTTATAACGAGAACGAAGGGATGTTTACAACCATGAAAGCGATGCTTAAGCAGTTGTATGCTACATATTTAAAAGGTCACTAAGCTTTCACGCCCATGTTCGTAATGTGCTATTTGCTTCAGTTGAACGTCGCTTTGGATAAAAGCATCTATTGAACGTAAATGTAAATGAAACCGGCGTTATCATTAAAACCGACACTGTGAATTTTCTTAAAATTTCTTGCACATTAATAAGCAGTAGAACTATAGTGACGAAGCAACATGAGTGAGTTATACCGCATCACGCAAACCACACAATCGTACAGTGATCTGTGACTCGCAGAGTAAAACAGGTAATTGGACATAATATAGATATTTACCAGTTACTGACAACCTGCAGGAGGCGCTCTCTGGTTTGAACCGCTGTAATGCTAGACTTTGATGCGGGTCTTGTAACTCAATCTGTGCTGCAAAGTGTTGTTTTGTTTAGAATCACGCCATATAAAAGCAAACTGTAATGAATCCTGGATAAATGCATATTTGACAGATGGAACTGTGTAAACAGCCGTGACAAAAAGAGGTAACATATAATGGGGTAACTAACCTAAACGAGCAGATGCCTTGGGCGTCGAGATCATGTTAATGAATGACTTGAGGCGATGAGCTTGCGACATAAATAGATGTAATGAGAGCGAACGTTTTTTGGCAGAACCGTATATCAACACCGCGGTACACACATGCAAATGTGTAAATATGATGACGCACACCATAAATAACAGCAAACAGAAAGAGAAATAAATGAAAATATTTTAAAAGTCTCTTTACTAACCATCGCTTCCGTAAACTAGTCTCATTAAAATGTGGTTCAGCAGAGTGTATCGCATCGCAAGTGAAAGTATTCAAAGCTAAAAATGAATTTGGAGATATCGATATAGCTCAGAGCGCAGCGTCAAGTGCAGAAAGAGCGCCATCTGGAGGAATAGAAGAGCCATTGCACCTTAGCAACAGCCAAGATATTAAAAATCAGGTGACGACGTCACGTGACATAGTAAATTACCAAATAAGTGTCACATGTTTCACTTTCCATACAAACAACATGGCGTGGAAGCATTTGCGGCGATTTTTGCAGGGGCTCTTCGTCTTCGCCTGCTTGTCATTTCCCTGCCAGGCTCGCTATGGCGGGCTGCGCGGTGCTGCGCTCCGGCTTCATAAAGTGCATGATGTAGGTGGTGCTGGTGTGGAGGAGCAGTGGTTCACGCAAAGACTGGACCATTTCGATGGTGCCGAAACCCGAGTTTGGAAACAGGTAGGACTCTGTAAACTCAGTCTTTCGGCGTGCATGTCTAAAACACAACCATTAAATGTTCGCGTGAGCTGCCGCGTCTGACAGGTTAATGTTCCCATTTCAGAGGTTCTTCGTGAATGACACCTTCTATCGAAGCGGCGGCCCGGTGTTTCTCATGATCGGGGGGGAGGGTCCCGCAAATCCCGCCTGGATGCAGTACGGGACCTGGCTGACATATGCGAAGAAGCTTGGCGCCCTGTGTTTTATGCTGGAGCACCGCTTCTACGGGAAGAGTCGTCCTACTGAGTAAGAAATAAGGCTTTTTCTTTAAAATTAGAGTAATACCTTTACATTAACTCACTTATGGTTCATTATGTATCTTTTTTTCAGAAGAAATACTTGCACGGCAGTCACTTTGGGCTACGTACTACATAATTAGAGAGTTTTCCCTGATTCTCCTTGGCTCCAAGAAGCAGAAGGAAAGATCGTTTCCCCTTTTTATTAGCAGTTCTGGAAATGACCGCTAGGGGGAGTCATGCGCAAACAAAAGGAAGGACAGTTCCGTACGATCTTCTCTGTAGGTTGATTCCCATATATTCCCGTTAGCGTCCGGTATTAACGCTATAAACACTCTGATTACGGTTCTGGAAAACACCCGATTCAACTAGTTTTTGGTATGGCATATTGATGTAATTTTTCTTTTTAAGAGGAAACGTATGGAATTTCTTGTCAGATATTTCAGACCCTTGGTCTACAGTAGCAGTTTAGCAATTTGCTGAAGTTCAGGAACTGAGTTTTGGCTGTAAGTGAGACACTTCCTCCTTTCAAACATTAAGTTATGCAGTTAGAAGCAGATTGGCTTGATCCTTCTGCACTGTCAATATTATAATAACTAATACCACCCCCCTCCCCCCCCCATACTTTCTCTAACCTGCATTTTCCTTCATGTAAACCAACATCGTCTCTGTGGTGTTTCTCCAGGTAAAGCCCCTTTGTGGCCTTGCTGTTGAACAGTCTCTCGCAGTAAAGGAGTCTTTGTAGTTTCCCGTTTCCGTTCCATCCATCACCCCTGCGTTGCTGCTCTCCCACTTGCTTTTGCCCTTTACATGGGATGCTGAGGTCACCCCAGGCCTCCTCTCGCCACAGGGACCTGAGCTTCGCCAGCCTCCGCTACCTGAGCAGCCGGCAGGCCCTGGCGGACCTGGCCCACTTTCACTCGTCCATGGCTGCTGCACGGGGACTCACCGGCAGCAAGTGGGTAACTTTTGGCGGCTCGTATCCCGGCTCGCTGGCCGCCTGGTTCCGTCTGAAGTACCCACACCTGGTCCACGCCTCAGTGGCGACCAGCGCACCCGTGCACGCCGTCGTTAACTTTCCTGGTAAGCCTGCCATCTTGCTGGTTCCAGCCTGTGGGGGGGTGGGGGCTGGCATTCGTTGCCCGGGATTCCTCCCTCTGCCTCTCACTGAGGGGGTCACAGGCTCAGTGCCCGGCTGTCCCTGGGTCTGTGATGCACTTTGTCTTCAGGAAACATCTGGTCACACTGGACCTGCTAAGCCCCGCCCCCAATGTGCCAACTCCCATGAGAGTCTGAAGTAGGCGCCATTCTTCTTAATTCTGCTTTTTGGTGATCGTGTCTCTGTGACCCTGTGTTTACCATCCTCTTCTTATCCCTGCTTTATCACTGGCAATATGATTTTATAGCTGGAAATACTGAGCTTCCCCCCCCAATTTCTAAACTACTTGAGTGTAAATTTTATTGGTATGTCTATTTTTTTATTATTATTTCTCAGACCATATGCCCAGCTAGACATCTAACCTGGTGTAATGTTGCAGTCTGCAGAATTTGGGCCAGTTATATGCAGGCTGAAGCAGTTCTGAAACTCTGTGCCCATTTAGACATAGTAGCTGCATTTTGTAACAATAGTCACTTCTCAGAGGTTAAAATAAGGATGTTACATGGGAAAGCGAAACCTTTTTCTTTTCTGCGCAGAGTACCTTGAAGTAGTGAGGCAGTCTCTTGCGGCTGAAAACCCAGAGTGCCCTCTGCTGGTCCAGGAGGCTTCTGACACTCTGTACAGACGTCTCCAGGACCCCGAGACTTATGTGAATATCACCAAAGATTTCAGGTACCCTCCCGGACTGGGCCGGTGTCTCCCCTTTCAGGGTCTAGGTAGACTGAGCTGATGCGTTTTAATTCTGCTGTGTTTTCCCTTTGCATATGTTTTTAAATGTTGTTCGTTTCACCAGCAATGTCCAGGCTTGGGGAGCTGCTCAAACTTGGCCGCCTTGCAGTTTTTGTGTCACACTTTAAGCTTAATGAGGCAGTGTTCTTGCTTCGGGGGAGACCTTTGCTTTCCTCTCCGCTGTATTTCCTGCAGAGACATTTTCAGTGGAAAATAACAGGGCTGGGCAAGTGGGTGCTGCTTGGCCAAAATGAGTCCTGAAATGTGGATGCTTTCTGCTGGGTAATTACACCCCCCCCCCCCCGAAAATATGGGCCTGGTCATTAGGGTAATCTGAGTCACTTCATCCAGTGAGAGAGCCCGGGGGGGGGGGTTTTTTTTTTAAATGTTTTTCTCCTCATAGACTGGATACCAGTGGTACTTAAAATTTCCAGACAGTGCGAAGTCCAGGTATATATAGTGCATGAGCTTTCTGATCTCGTTATCTTTTATGGTCCTGTTGTGCTGAGGGGGGACACCACCCAGAAATGAAAAAGCATCTACTTTACCTGTTTTTTACTGCCGGTTCTAGTGAAGCATTAAGGGAGCAGCTCATTATGTAAGCTTTGCCTTAAGGCGATTCCCTGTAAACGTCAACTAACAGGCAGAACGTGACATCCTGCATTTCAGATGTACATAAAGCTGCGATGTTAAAGGACTTGGTGTGGGCTCTATTCCTCAGCCCCCCAGCAAAGAAAGCCACCAGGAGCCCTTTTGATTCTGCTCGACAGACAGACCAGGCTGCTGCCAGCGACCCTCTCAGGCCTCGGGGGGGGGGGGGGGGGCTGCTGTAGGAAGTCGGGGCCGCGGCAAAGGCATCAAAGTGCTCTGCAAGCTATGGCCTTTGCGCCTGAAGGCTGGAGTAAATTCGTGTGCTGCTGTCAGGCTGGGCTTGGTGTCAGTTTGCCTACGCAGATGGGTGTTATCATGACTTCATTGTGTGTCGTTATGAATTAATAGGGTTTAGTTTGCAAAAAATACGTTTCAGTTAATGAAGCGGTTTAACTGGAAGGTAGTATGTCTCACTGTGCTGTGTGTGTGTGTGTGTGTGTGTGTGTGTGTGTGGTTCCCCTCATCCCAAACAGTCTCTGCGCAGACCTGCAGATCCAGACCAAAATGGACATTCCCTACTTCCTGGAGACTGTGGCCGGCAACTTCATGGATGTTGTCCAGTACAACGAGGATAACAGGGAGTTTGAGGTGGGCAGGGGTGCAGATGGGCCCTTCAACCAGGGGGGTTAGAGGAGTTTTTATTTAGCTGGCAGATGTTGGCTAGAGCTTTGTGTTCAGCTGGAAGTTGGTTCAGGCCCCACACTTGGCACTGTCCCTTCTGTGAGAACTTCTCAGCCGAAAGGCCTGCTTCATAGCTCTATGCAGACTATTCTGTCACTCAGCACCAGACCTTGGGAGGAAGACCAAGCATATGACCATGTGTGGAGAGGTCTGGTGTATTTGAAACGTCATGTATTCCCAGCCTTGTGGTGTAAAGTGATCTGCCTGCGGAGTCTGTTCGCGTGACTTCCTGTGTGGTCATCACTGTCCTTGTTCATGTGCTGCCGTCACGGTGCAAAGTGCTTGGAGATCATGCCAAGCTCTAACCTGGGGGCAGCTGTCCTCCAGCTCAATCACTCATTATTAGGTGGGGCAGAGGTAAGACGTGAGTCAGATTTCCAGTCAGTTTCCAGGAGAGGACAACAAGTACTTCAGTGCAGAAAGCCACAATGGAGGGCTGATGCCTACCTCCAAAGAGAAGAGCCACAGAAAAGATCTGCAGGTCAACCTTACTGGTCTCTTTGTAGTGGAAGGTCTTACTGGATTGTGTGGGATCCAGCGCGAGTTTGACGTAGCCGTCTGCCCTGAACAGATATTCTTATTATAATAGATGTCGTGATCTTGTAAATGTTACTATGAATCATAGTTTGTGCTTAAAAAGGCAGCTTGTTGGAATAAGGAACAATTGCAGGCCTGTGAGGTTGACCTATATGAAGTTTCCTTGTTTAATGGTGGTGGTGTTTTTGAAAGCTGACGAAGAGCTTTCTTAAGGGTTGCTATATAGTAAGTTGATTGGTCCTGTCAGGATTTATGAAAACTCTGCCATAGTGTCATAGTTTTCATTTGGATTTGACCCAAAACCTAGTGCCCACCGAAGTTTTGGCTCTGAGGACCAGGATTGAGTAGAATTGGCTTGTAGGAGCTGTTGGTCAGTGCTGATTTCTGCTTGCACAGGGAGTTCCTGGGACCAACGTCACCATCAAGGTGCTCTGTGGGGTGATGATGGACGCCTCTCTGGGCACCCCCTACAGTCGGTACGCAGCGGTCACTAGTCTCATGCTGAAGACCTTCTCGCAGAAATGCTTGGATGTCAGCTACTCTACATACCTGAAGGACATGAGCAATACCTCCTGGAGTGGGCCTGCTGCTGGTGGAGGTGAGGAGGATAGGGATAGGGGGTGGAGTCTTGGTGAAGTTGGGCCTACTTTTGGCCTTGACTTGAAGATCACCTTTTTGTAGGTTTTAATGAGGAATAGTATAAACTTAGTGATGGTGCTCTTGGTTTGCTTTGAGCCCTATATTGAACAGAGCACCATCTAGTGGGGTCAGAAAATACAGCAAGTGGTTCATGAAGCTTCATTTTATCATAAGTAGTATAAACTCGGCTGCATTGGAGGGGTGGTGTTTCCTGGGGGAGCCGGCCCCCTTTACAGCAGAGTGCCATTACATCAGCCTCAGCCAAACCTCTGCCTCTTCTGCTCACCTTGACTTCTAAAGGAGTCTGAAACTCTCGACTGTTTGTCTTTACTGTCGCTGTAATCGGAGGCATGGCATTGGCAGCCGCAGCCTAACCCTGAGCCCTGGCTGTAGTTTAACCAGGTGCAGGGAGTTGAGACGCAACAAACCAAACCTGGCATGTTGTCACATCGTCCGCTACGCCTTACTGAGGGCTTATCAGCTGCAGCCCCTGGGTGGAATCCGTCCCCCTTCTCTTCACCAAAAGGACCCAAACCCCCTATCGTCCTGTAATGGTGACCTCCACCCTGCCGCGCTCCTCTGATCACGGTGACCTCGCTGGGGCTTGGTTCCCGGGGCCTGTTTTCTTGGCTCGGGTCTCCTTGGTTTTAGGAGGAATCCCAATGGCAGGAAATGGTGTGTGAGAACAGTGGGCCGAGGGTCAGGCTCGGGGTAGATAACTGCTGCGCGTTGCTGATTATTTGCCTTTCTGTTAGCTTTTTGTGGGAGAAACCATTTGGCGGTTTCAGAGCCCCCCCCCTCCTCCCTCAGTGTTTCTTTATGGTTTTCATTTCATAATCCTTCTTCCAATCTGCCAGACATGATTGCACTCGCTGAAAAAAAACTACTGAAATCCCCCAGATAAGTCTTAAAAATCAGAAGGGCTCTCAAAGATATTAAATCGTGAAATGCATCAGAAACATGACTGCGGTCCCCTGCACGTCACGCAGGCTGACCTGTGAGGCGTGTCTGCATGTTTCTCGCATTTGATTTAATGCTTCACGGAGCTGCACCCCAACCTCCTGTCTCTGGGCCATCCTCCTCTTCAGGGCCTTGAGCAGACAGGCCACCTGCCTTGTGCCCACCTTCAGGAGAGGATGCCCTCTGATCATATGTCTCTGCCGTTTCGTTTCCAGGGCGACAGTGGGTTTACCAGACCTGCACAGAGTTTGGCTTCTACCAGAGCACAGACTCGCCTAACCAGCCTTTCACCGGCTTCCCCCTGCAGTGAGTCCTCCACCCTGACTCGTCACAAAGCCCCCCCCCTTAAACTCTGGATGCCAGCCCCCCCCATGCCCCGGAGGTGATAATGCCTTAAGCCGCTTTGAAGATCAACACAGAGCCTCCAAACACTGCGGCAGACATGTTTCTGTGGATAAGGCGAATGGAGCAGAACCACCGAAAGGGTTCTGAATAAATGTGTGTGGGAGTCGTGCCCTGGGGGGGGGGGGGGGTTTCAGTAAACACCGTTTACACTGAGGCTCGCTGGGGTGTGGAAATGGAGCTAAGAATATTTCTGTATTTCTCAAACCTTAAAAACTGTGTCTTACATAGATAAAATGTGCCCCATCAATCCTCCGTCCGCCTGACCCCCCCGTGCCCTTGGGTTGGCTATTTCCCCTCGGGGGGGGGGGTGTTTTTGGGAGGGACAATGGAATGAGACCCACGGAAAGTCCCACAAGGAGCACACAGCCCCCCTTCCTGCTGGCAGCTGCCCCCCCCCCCCCCCCTGCTGTCACTGGGACAGGGAGGGGATAAAAAGAGAACGGGCAGAGCTCAGTGAGAATACAGGCCAAATCTGCCCTGGCATTATGGTGTGGCATTAAAAGGGCTCTTTGTGCGGCTTCTGTCTCTCTGGTCAGTAAGTAGAGGTGCCAACTCATCTAAAGATGCCTCATTCACCCCCCCCCCACCCCGCCCCCGCACCAAGATCTCATTTTTAGTTCCATGTAGCAAAAGCGTAAGTGACCGGCTCTTGTTTTCATAGTTAACGTGGAAATTAAGTTCTCCTGCTCCATTGCTCTGTATGTCCTCATTACTTTAAACTTTAGCAGCAACTTGTCATCAAACAGTTCTTCACACCTCCGTTGTACCAAAGGGGATCAAAAGGTGAATCTCACAGCTGACTGGTTAGCTGCCGATCACATGATCACCCTCTGGCAGGCAGGCACTGAGTGCACTTACACAGATCCCTGTCAGCAGGCTACTGTGTCGTCTTGCCTGATCTCGGGGGCGGTCTTCCTGTCCTGACAGGTACTTCCTGCAGCAGTGTCAGGACATGTACGACGCCTCTCTGAATGCGACGGCCATTGCAGATGCGGTGACCCAGACCAACGAGTTCTACGGCGGCTACGATGTGCACGCGACACGCATCGTCTTCCCCAACGGCTCCATTGACCCGTGGCACGCCCTCGGGATCACCCAGGACATCAGCGATGACCTTCCGGCGGTCTTCATCAAAGGTGACCGCTCATGTTTTGTTCTAGCATTCTGGATCAAGGGCTCATTCCTTCTACACCAGTAAACCAGGCTGTCATTGGACAGCTTTGTTTGCTCACCCCATGTAAAAAAAAAAACAAGCATGTTTGCTAATTTTAAAAAAACAAAATGGATGTTTGTAAATGAGTACGTAACCTTGTCTGTGTAGTGACTGAGTGAGCAGTATGATATTCACTATCTGTTGGTTGTGAGAGGTACACATTGATAACTCCTCCCTCCCCCACCCTCCCTCGACCAGGCACTGCACATTGTGCGAACATGTACCCTGCACGGCAGCAGGACCTCCCCCAACTGGCACTGGCACGGGATCACGTCTTCGTGCTTCTTCAGAAGTGGCTGCAGCAGTGAGTGCACCATCTGGCCCCCA